ATCGTGATAGATTGGTTGTACATCGGATCATCTATTCTTTGGTGTGGCGTTAAGAGTGCCTAGTATAAATAAACATACGGCTGGGTAATTTTGTCAACACATTTCGGGGGGAAATGTTTGTTTGCGCACAGTGCTTTAGCAAACCAAAGGTCATTCAGTTAGTGTTTACATATACTTAATGTTCAATAGATTTAAGAATCTCCATAAAAAGGCTTGCTACGTCACCCAATCTTATGTAGTATTAGTAAAATATGGTATGATATGCAATCACCACCTTAGATTTCAGCAGCAGAATGTCTCCATGACTGCTTGCTGCTGAAAATAAAATACTTACATGTATAACAGATGGAATAAGATGTTCAGCAACCTGCCACTTTAGCCCCCATGCCTACATTTACCAGCATAATGAAAGCACAGGAAAACAATCTACATTCAACTTGGCCTAAAAGCATATTGTCAACAGCTGGTTTAAGTTGTCTGCATTCACACCTAGGCGACAGCATTTTTTCTTGTTTCTACACGCAAGTTTTTTGTGCTTTTTTGCACGCAGCTTATTTTTATTTTACTTAAAACTATAAAACTATAAAACATTATGATCTATAACCCATCCTGGTATGAAAGTCAAAGGTGTTTGCTGAATCATGCTGATAGTGTGCAACACACTGCATTGCTGGAATGCGCTCATTGAAGCATCAGCTTCAGAGTTAATCTGTTTGGTTACCATCAAGCCGTTATTTTTGAAATTCTGTTTAGTTTTAGATGTTGGGGCCTTTGAAATGGTTTTATGAGGTTATTAATATAACTTAACTATATAAATCAAAGACAGCATTTACTGCATAGGTATAGAGCTAAGCAAAATATCAGAAAGGTGTATTTTGATCTTTAGTTAGGGTATGCATGAACCTAGATTTCACCAGATTGTGGAGATCTGCTTGTTGGTTTGTGTTGATGGGTTTCCCTCGTGATTCCCTCCAAAAACTCCCACACTCTGATCTACCCTTTGACACAATCAAGTAGAGTTCCTTTATACATTCCACTTCCTGCATAGCAGGAGCAATGTCTATGCCAATGCTACACAATCACAGCTTGAAGATCTGAGACGGGCTGCTTGCTTTCACTCAATATCGTCTTTACAGCAGTGGCTTGTTGCAAATGTTTGTCATGTTTCACTCATTACATTTTTTAATTGTTCACTACAAGCTGTCAATAATTCTCATTTTGTGTCACACAGGTTTGTTGACATTGTTCACATGCTGTAACATGATGAGCAGGTGACTAGTCTGTTTGGCAGTTAAACTAAGAGATATACAGGCAGAATAAGAAGATTTAGGGTTAGTTGCCTGCTCGTAGTTTTACCCTTTCCCTTCCCCTTAACGGAGTAAGGCATACTGTACTTCAGAACAAAACCATTCCCAGGTGGCCGGGGAAGTATGCTGTCTCTGGCTTTCAGGCTTCTGCTGTAAGCTAATGGTTGCTTCAGTGACCATAAACGTATAGTAGAAGGCTTCCCCTGACTCTCCTCTCTAAATGAATTGCTGCCGCTGTGACACCAGAAACCCCCCTCCGCCTGCCGCTGTTCACACCTAAGTTTTGTCGCAAGCTGTAAAAAGCCGAACGCTGGAAAAAGTACATGAGCATTTTTTTTTTTTTGTGGGAAGATTACAGTGCGTTTGGCCCCATAGACTTCAATGAAAAAGCCTGGAATGAATGCGCAACACAAGTGTTTTGCACATTTCTGTGTGTTTTTGTACGCTTTATGTCCATTCACCACAGTGTATTTCTTCATGTGCGTGCATCTAACGTGCGCAAAAATTTGCAAAAAGGTACTAAACATGCTAGATGAAACACTCGACAAAACGCATGCTAATATGCGCAAAAACGCTAACGCCTAGGTGTGAACCGTGCCTTACAACTACCCATGTCCTGGTAAATCATGTGATAAATAAGCTTCTTGCAAGATGGACGACCTCCTGTTGAGGTAACAGTGGTAATAGACCCTGGTCAACAATATGGCGTGGATAGTTCTGACCTTAATAAGGTTTGGTTGGAATCTGAACCTTCAGATTCTGTGTTTGAGCTGACTCATTGCTTAGGGTATCTTGGTTTGATCCTGAACCCAGCTCAGACCAGAGTTTTACTTCCAGAAGAGACTGTTCCAAGACTCAGAATCTTCTGTCCAAGAGTTGACCAACTCTTTGTTTCGGTATAAGAGTCATGGGGATAGTTGTAGCTTCCTTCGAGGCAGTCCTGTTTGCCCATTTTTTTTCATCAGATCCATGCATCTCAACATTCTGTCATTGTGGGATGAATATGTCTCTGGCCTTCTGGCTCATAAATCCAGCTCTAGAGTTGGGGAAATTCTTCCTTCCGATCTCTTGGAAGGTTTCCTGATCTCTTGGAAGATTGATACTAGCCTCAGGGACTGTCCTAGACACATTGATGGTGCAGGGGAGAATCCATCAGACAATGCCATTGCAGTGGTGTACATGAACCATTAGGGAGGAACCAGAAATCTTGCTGCAGCAAGACCAGTAGAAAATGATTCTGGGTAGAACTTCTTCACATTCCAGTCTTGTCTACTATTCACATCCCAGGCATGGGCAAGTTGCAGACAGACTCAGCCATCAGTACCTTGACAAGAGCCTGTGCCACTGGTGAGGGAGCCCCGATGTGGACCTCCTGGCCTTTAGATTCAGCAGTAAACTGGACAGGTTGGAAGCAGTGTATGCTTTGGTGGCACCATGCGATCATGGAGATTCCTACGAGGTTAAAAGCCAGGAAGTCCACTTCCCGAGAGATCTACAATCGCACATATAAGGCATACTTTGCTTGGTGCAAGGAAATAAACTTTAATCATACAAAATCATTTGTGGGATAATTCTTTACAATCAGGCCTGGATCAACAATTTGCGCTAAGTACTGGTAAGGGTTAGATCACAGCACTTGTGATCTTGTTCCAAAGACCATGAGCCTCTCATTCTTTTTAGGACCTTCATGTAGTGTGTTTCTTATGTAACTCCCCCAGTGTGCCTACCTGTTATGTTTTCCTTACTGCCATTACCTGCAAGGCATGTGTCTGAACTGGTGGCCTTGTCCTGCAATAAACCCTTTCTGGTCTTACACAAGGACAAGGTGGTATTGAGGCCTAAAGCCCCCTTCTCTCCCAAGTTGGTCTTTGCCTTTCACCTTAACCAGGACATTGTGCTCCTGTCTCTCTGTCCAGTCCCAGTACATCAGAAGGAGCTTTCCCTCCATTGTCATAATGTATTTGGAGCTGAATATGTCTACCTCACAGCTTCTGCCTCCATTAGAATGATTGACTCTCTCTTGTTCATCTGTGATGGTCCCTATGAAGGAGAACCAGCCATCTTAGTGGCTTAGCATCATAAGCATCATTCAAGCTTATGATCTTAAGGATTGGGTTCTTGTTTTTACTGTTAAGGCACACTCTAATAGATGTGTGAGTGCCTCTTGGGTTTTTAGGTACCAGACAATTGTTTCCCAGATTTGCAAGACTACCACCTGGTCTTCTCTAAATACATTATCTAGGTTTTACCTGGTGGATATTTAAGCCTGTTCTAATGCCAGCGTTGAGCGTAAGGTCCTTTTAGGCTGCTAGTTTGTTTTTTAGTTGGGCTTGTTAATGTTTTGTTTGCTGTGTTGACCACCTCTCGGTGGACACCTTTTGGATATCCCAAATGTCAATACATCCTGTGTACCCCAATGAATCAAAACAGGATTTTTGTACTCGCCATAAAGTCCTTTTTATTTTTATTTTTTTAATTAATTGAGGGACACCACCCCTCTGCATTTTTGATCTTGCTCTTGGCACTGCTTTGTTATAGAACTGAGCCATGCAGGGCCTGGGAGAGGTTACTCCCAGTTTCAGGCTGTTCACTGTATTTTGTCTGTCTGTGTCCAAATCCTACTAGAGGTGGCAGTATAACCCAAATGTAAATTAATCAGTTCTCTATGTTGACTGCAGAACACTTGGAGAGGGGGACGTGGAAACATATTTTATATGGAAACATATTTCCTTGGTGACCATGCTGCTCCTCTATGTATACAGTAAAGTGAGAGAGTGTTGTCAGTCTAGCACAGGAAGTATGTTACTGGCAGAATCAGGAAATGAAAATAAAGGAAAAAAAGAAGCTAATTAAACCACTACATGTAAGGATGGGTAAGCTCCAATAAGTTACATTTTTTTCTTGGGCTTGGATACACTTTAACTGTCCAAGCATACATGTTGCAGGCACTACTTCAGCAGTATTTTAAATTAAGATAACAGGTTCACATTAAGAAAATATCATGCTGCTGAGCATAGAAGGTTAAGTATCAAGGAACAGGTGAAGTTACTGTATTGTACTACAGTCCTGGTATACAGATGATCATGAATCTAATTATATAAACATTTTGCTAATTATTTAAACATTGTTATCCTTCTAGGGAGATTCCTAGGAAATGATGAGTTCCCTAAATCTTGCAAGAAGACAATCCAACTCAGTGCAGTATTGTCTTTTTGTGAAATGTGGGATCCTTGTTATTCCCAGGATCTCATCAGTAGAATCGTGATGTCACTCTTGTGAACATGTGGTGGATGGAAGTCAGGGCTAAGGTAAGTATTTATTCTAACATTTTTCTTTACAGGTATATTTTTGCCCTGCTAACATATAGCGATTTTCTATAGGGGATGGGGTCCTGGTCTAATTAATGGACCTAGCATTTTACTACAAGGTCTGTTTTAGCATTAACTGTATGTTTTAAAATGTCACTTCTGAATTGTTTGAAAACAATAAGGTATAATCTGGAATTCCCCTTTCTTTCTCTGAACTGTTACATTTCTATTTAAGACTCTCATTGGGAGGTCTTTTGATTTATCTTTAACCTTTATAGATAAGGTTATGGTAACATTTTAAGGACTGAAGGTATTGCACAAGCTGTCAGCTAGCTCGCTCTAGCACTACTTGCTACTATTGTTATACATTTTAAAATCGTCTTACCAAGTGCTGTTTTTGTCCACTGAAGGGTCTCTTCTCCTGAGATGTGTTGTTTTTTATGAGCTTTAATATGTACTCATTTGTGGGCTGGTCTTTATGAAGACCGAGAATTCTTTGGCAAACTGGCGTAGGTTACCTGTAAACATTACAAGATAATCTTATTATTGTTGCAGTAGGTACGACTTTAGTAAACAAACACTTCTTCCATGTTTACTGCTGGGGCTGTTATGCTTTGTTCTTACTACAGTTTTGTCAGTGTTTGAGAATCATATGGGTGCTTGACCCCTTATACAAACAGGGCCAGGGCCATAATTAATTAAATTTGAAGGGATGCTAATTATGACAGGCAAGGACTATAATGGATACAGCGTATAAAGACATGTATACGTCTTTGTCACCAGTAGTTTGTTATAGTGTGTATGGTTATGAACCATCATCAAAATTTGATGAGTTGGTTAATTATTGTTTGGTGTTGAGCCTCCCAGGTTTTGTTTTAATAGTAGTTTTTGCGTATAGGCATGCCTGGTATATGCAATAATATCCATTATGGTGTGTATAACACACTGTTTTAGACAGAAATACACTAGAGGGCTAAGTAAGCATGGTTTAACAAAATAGATACTAACAGTTATGTTTTTTAAATTTTATCATACATCTCTTTTTTAATAGTAACAGCCTCTGTATTCAGAAGAGTATAATTACTAATCAAACACCGAGTGGATGTGCCAGGCAACTATTCTGGGGCAAACGCTTTGCACAGCCTTTTCTGTTTCACCAATCATGGCCATGCAACCCCTCTTATGGAATAAGGAGCATGAGTTTTTTTTACAATTGTCATGTGTCATCATGTCTGAAGAAAGTGCCATGGAAAAGCCCCAGCCTAATGACTCCTAACATGTTATCCCCTGTTTGTTCACTGTATTTTTGAATATTTTCTTCCTATATAAGTCTTCTTGAGGAAAAAAACAAAACATTTATAAACGGTACCTTTCACCATTTACATGCACAAATATATACGCACTTGCAAATTGCGTTATTAATATGATGTAGTGTGGCCACATAGATCTCTGCTAAATAAAAGAGGCACAGTCTTCCCACTGTTTCTGTTTTTTTTCTGTTTTTTTTTCTGTTTTTTTTATGCTTCATCCATAGATTATTGTTCAAAGTTCATATTATCAAAATGTTAGAAGTTTAAAGAAGATTGAAATTGCAATAGAATCTTTACAATGGAAACTCACTTGCGAGAGCTTTTATTTGTACATGCAGGTTTTTACTGATGTTTTAGTCATCTTTTCTGTTTTGTAATTATTCTAATATTTGTCCTTCATGTAAGCAGCACTGGTCAAAATTGTAGTACGTTTACAAGCACACAGCTTATAGTAGAACTGTTCAGCAGACTGTCCCCTTTAAATTAATAGCTGTCATCAGCGGCTCACAAGCTGCTGATGACCGCTAATTTTAAAAATACCGGGCGCCCCCCCCCGGCAATTGGTAAAGACTTTGATCCCTTTTTAAATAGGCACGTGTTCTAGGGAGCATAATGCATCTGCTGGTGTGAATGGACCCTAATTAATCTGATCTGATCTTATAGACTTTCCAGGCCAACGAATTAGGAAAGTCGGCAAATGTGGAAACATATTTTTAAATAAGGGAGGTCAGTAGTTGTAGTCTTTAGATGTATGTCATCTCTGAAAGAACTTTTACTTAAAAAGAATAACTGATCTGTGCTCAAGGTTGCTGCACAACCAAGAGAACAGAAATATGAAAATAACAATTAAAGTAGAACTGAAGCCAAAACTTTTTTTAGTTGTGAATAGAGTAAGGGAGGGTTATAACTCCTGTCTGCTTTATTTTTTGCTATCTGAGTCCCATTTGGGGAGATTTTCTTTCACTTCCTGTCCTTCCACAATAGGAAATGAGGAAATCCCTCCAAAGTAAGGGAAATCCCTTGTGGTCAGCAGGGTCACAAGAACTAGTGTCTACTTTGGAAGATTTTTCGTCCATTCCTGTTCTGATGACAACCCACACTTTGGGATATTCTTGCATTTTCACTATAATTTATAACGGTCACTAGAACAAATATAGAAGGTGAATCTCTCTAACGGGGCCACAGAGAGCAATAAAGACCTGAAACGTGACTTAATTCAGTGGTTCTCAACCTGAGTAACCTCAGGAACCACATTTGTCCTTGGTCATTAATTTGCAACCGCACTGGAACGCACATTGCAGTACCATGCACTCTGGTGTGGGCAACTGAACTGTGGACGGGAGGTGCATTTGTGGTGGCATTCAAATGAACGTGCAGTAGGTGCGAATGCATGGTGCAGTGCGTAATCACAAGGGGTTGTGTGATCAACGCACTGTGCTAGTGTGAATGGACCCTCAGAAACACTGAGAGATTCACACAATCTCAAAACATCTTTTTTTAAGATTCACCCAGTCTCCCTACCTTACGAGAACTGGAGTGGATCCTCAGCTAGGGGTCCAGTGTGGGCTGCTGTGCTCTGGCGGAGCTCAATCCGTATGTGCATTGCTTGTACCTTAGCCCGCCCTGCAGAGGTGCCAGGAGCCAGAATGTGATATCACTCCGGTCCACCAATAGCAAATCCCCTTCATCAGGCAGAACTTGTTCTGCCTGATAAAGGGGATCCTGTGAGGCCCCAAAATGTCGCATTGTGTTTATCACATTATGCTGCTCATACGTCAATAAACAAACTTATTTAATTTGCCGTGTCGGTGTCTATATATTTTGTTTGCTATTTGAACACGGTTGCCAACCGTTGACAGCCGCAGGTTCATGGATGCCACTCCGGTCCAGACACCTCTACAGAGCACGCTCGGGAGCTGTAAGCAATGCATGTATGGATGGAGCTCCCTCATGGCCATACCCCCAGCCCACCCCACCTCAAGCTGACACTCGGCGTCGGGCAGTATATTTTGAATGGCTGCTCGGCGCAACAACTGACAGTGCTGCATTAGAGGTAGGCTGAGGAGCACAGTAGAAGACACACGGTGACCCACTGAACACGGGGTTGTGACCCATATTTGGGTCGCCACCCTCCAGTTGAGAACCACTGATCTAATCCCTCCCCACTCTATCCACAACTAAAAAAAAAAGTTTTCTGACTTTATTGCCATTTCTTTTTGTTAATAGGTCTGGTGAATATTGCAGCTGAAGTTCACATGCTTTTGGGAACAAATCATTTGTGTATTTTGAAATAACAAGGGGATAAATGTAGTAGACATTGCTATGTCTGCTCATCATTAGAGACATAATATAAAGTAGTTAGACTTGTGACATGTAAACAGTACAGAGGTAATGATTTGAGCAAAACATTTGCATATGTTGTAAAAAGAAATATTACAGAGAATGAAGACTTAGTACAAGTTGTCTCTTCCTCTCACATGAAAAGTCTGTTTTAGCGGAACAGGTGTGTGTACCTAAATGTCATTTACTTAACAACCTTATCTAAAAGAGGATTGTTTTTCTTACTTGGCAGACACTTACCTGTTTCAGTACTGCATTGATAGCAGGTCATTAAAATAACTGCATATCAATTTATCTTGAGAATGTAAAATGTTGTTATAGATGTTTATTTGACAGGATTTCATCTACAGTAGCCTTAGTCAACCTTAGTGTTCTCCTATTGGTAGGACATGCTGACAAGGGTCTTCTGGAACTTTTAGGCCCCGTTCACACTGAGGGATTTATCGCGCGGTAATTCCCGCGATATCGCGGCTATTTACAGCGCGATATCGCTCTCCAATGCTTGGCAATGGGGCAAAGGGTCCTGCTGTCGCGGGTCGTGCGTCGCTACAGCAGGACTCTTTTTGGAGCGAATTTTGCTGCGATTCTAGCTTGCTCAATGCAAGCATTTGCGCGATATCGTGCAAAATGTAAATCGCGCGACGAACGCGCGATTTGCGAATCGCACAGTGTGAATGGGGCCTTACTTCTAGACCTAGTACAGAGACTTTGTTTTTGATCTCAAGTATTATTTTGGATTAGCTGGTGTTAATGAAGTCTTGCAGAATGAATCTGACGGTAATGTGAGCACGATTACTACCTGAACAATATAAAATGAAAAGCAATAGATGTTTTTTTCATGCAGCAATTTTACATATTTTCCTTCAAGATATTTTTTTGTGTAGCATTATGAATACAATTAGTTAATAAAATTTGATGTAGCACCCTGTTCAAGTTAATTAAAGGGGAACTATGAGGTGAGTGCTTTTCACTCATCCTCATAGTTCTAGCCGACCTGGATAAGGAGGCAGACAGCTTCTACGTGGTGTCCTTAAAGGAGAACTGTGAGGCGAGTGAAAATCCCTCAGCCTCATAGTTCTAGCCGACCTGTGACAATGAAACTGTCACAGGTCGGCTCAGTAGATCGGGAAGTGAGCGAACACATACCGGCGTTCGCTCACTTCTGGATCCCATCACGGCACTCTGCCGTGGCAGGGGAGGGACTGGATTCCCCCCTCCCCGCTCCGATCCTCCAGCGCTGACTTGTGGAACGGACAGGGAAGGGGGCGGGTACAGCTGACTCTGCCTCTAGATAGGCAGAGCCAGCTGTCACTCATGCAGACATAATTGTCGGGATCCGCTTCAGCTGCGGCGTCTCAGTATACCGCGAGCTATAGCTCGCGTTATATTGAGCTTAGGGTGATGGGAGGATGCTAGTAGGGCTGCAACAACTAATCGACATAATCGATTATAATCGATAACAAAGCAATGTGCAAAGTCCATAAGTTAGAGTGATATTAAAGTCAAAAGGATTCTCAGCTATTTAAAATGCTGATTAAATCACTTACAATAAATGCTGCTCCTTGATGTTTAAAAGTTTAGTTTCCTGCAGAAGCAGCTTGTCCCGTGAACTCTAGCCCTGACTTCCTGTTTTAGAGTGACTCCTTTCTCAGGTGATATGAAGTCACCCTGGCATGTATTAGTAAGCTGTGTGCGTCTCCACAGACATAGCAAGTCAAGGTGCTTCCCTCCCCCCTGCCCCCCCCCCTTCCCCCTCCATCATTCTCC